TATATGTAGACCTAGATGATTACTTTTTAACAGTTGCATGGTATTTTATTGTGGGGATGTGTCATTTAGTAAACCAGTCCCCTGTTGATGGACAGATAATTCCATCACTTCATTGATGATGATTCTGTGGGGAACCTCTCTGTGTACTTTTGTGACTATTTGGGCAGAATGAATTAGTAGGAGTGAAATATCATGGTCTGAATGGTAATTTAAGATAATTAGTCTGTTAATGGCTTGTTGGGTGGCTGGGTGGAAGCAGCGAGACCAGTAAGGAGGCCATTAAAATGGTTTGGACTTGAGGCAATGAGGTGGTTGGCTACAAAAATGGTCAAGAAGGGGAGATATAAGAGATATTACAGGCAAAGACTTTCTAAGACCTGGCATCTGATGAGAGAGCAGAAAAAGAGAAGTCCTCTAAGTGGGGGGTTCTGAGTCTGGGTGGCTGGGAAGATTGGAAACATAGATCAGGAGTTGTTGGGGGAAATGGATGAGGGATAGGTTTAGTTTTGGCCCGGTTGCATTCAAGGAGCCTACTAATCATCCAGGAGTGATGCCAGAATGCAGCTGTAAGTATTGCTCTGGAAAGAGTTAAGGCTCCATATCGGGGCATAGCGTTCATTTGCATAGGGTGGTCCTGAGGTTGGGGGAGGAATGAAATCAGCAGTGGGGAGGATCTAGAGAAAGAGTGGACCCAGTAACTAAAGGGTGTATGGGGATGGGGACAATGGTCAGAGGGACAGGCGGAGATCCACAAAATTCACTGTCAAGGAGGCCAAAGATGGAAGGATCTGAAGTGATGACTGCTTCAAAGGGTAAAGTGATCAGTAGCCTATAGTAGCCTATATTACTCCCCCTCCTTCTGCACCCCACTGGGTGCTAGCATTATGTCTTGTACTTGCTTTTCAAAGCACTTAACATACTTGTGATCAATCAGTGTGATCGTCTGTTTGATGTGGGCTCCATGGAGGCAGGGACCACACCAATTCTGGTCTCCCTTCCATCCCCAGCGTCAGACGTGGTGTTTGGCACACGATGGTGTTGGTACCCTAAGTTGTTGCCACCTCCTGCAGGATTCCAGCTGACTACATGCCTGCCTGTCACCTCCATGCACATAACTCTGCACAAGTTGGGAGAAGAGGACCTTAAGACCCCTTGGGAGAAAATTCAGCCTGCACAGTTTGAATTTTGGGACCAGAAAGTATGAGTTGGGTGATCAAAAATGGGTCACCCAAACTCCATTTATTTGTACGTCACTGGAACCCAAAGTTTACAGGACTCCACCTCCAAGCCTCCCCATGGAGTGTTACATGAACCAGGACGACAGATCCCCTTGTTTGTTCCCCTTCCATCTTTGGATAGTGTGCCCCCTCCATGCCTGTATCCACTATGAAGCTGCTCTTTTTATCATATTTCATGGAGGGGATGGCATTTTCGTTGTGATTCTGGAACCCAGCTGTGCAGGGATTTGTGAACTTTGACTCCCTTAGGGTGCCAGCCAGGGCAGGTGTCTTAGGTCAGGTTTCCCCAAAGCAGACCCTGAGATGAGATTTGTGTGCAGGTGGCACATGAAGGAAGTGCCCCCTGAGACTTCAGATCCCACAGAGGGTGGCTTCAGCCCCTCCCATGGGTTCACTGAGCCTGTGTTATGCCTCAGAGTTGCTTGATCCTGGCTTCATTCTCCTGCTCCACATAGGCTTTGACCATGGGAGTGGGAGTCGTAAATTCTTAGGCATTTCTACCTCTGCCCACGTGAAGGCAAGGTGGGCTCAGTAGCCCAAGGAAAGACCTAAAAAAAGGAGGCAGGTGGTGACTTTCAGAGGCCAGTGTGGAGGTGCTGCAGGAGGCCTTCCAGAGCACATGACTACTGGTTGACCTGAGGGCTGGGCAGTTGGAACCTCCTCATCTCCTCTCCTTCCCTTGGAATGTGTACTCTGCCCGTTGTTCCCACAGTGGGAGGAGCCCTTTCCAAGGCCTTGGCCTTTAGAGAGTGAGGTGCTCTTGAGACCATCTGCACATAGATGTGACTGAAGCCCATTAAGGCTTCTGTCTACACTGCTGAGATTCTGGCAGGTGGGTGCAGAGATCTATTCACCTTGCAGCCACCCAGGACAAGCCTAATGTATTAAGTTCCCTTGCTTATCAGATCTGCCACCTACCAATCTGGAATGGTCTTCCTTTCTTTGGTCTCTCCCTGCCCTCTGTGTATGAGGGTCTGTAAACCAACAGAAGGGGCCTAACAAAGGTGGTAAGAAGGTAGAAACGTGGAGCATCAACACTGTCCTCTAGAGCATGTCAAGCCAGAGTCTATTTTTGAGCCCTGCTGGACCAGAAGCAGGGGCTGAAATTCTCTGTCTCACATCGATATGTGGAGATCAGACTTGGAAGCATGTTTAACATCTTCATGAGGGCTTCCTACCAAATGAGAAGGCGCTCAGTAAATGCTTGTTGACTGAATGAAAGGGCCATGCCTCAGGAGTTGGGGGCCCAGATAAGCCCTTGAGCGTGGTCTCATGCAGTCGGTGGAGATGGGTGTAGTTAGCTGTGTGAACTGGCAGAGTGGAAGTCACGCTGCAGGAGACGAGAGTGCATGGCTGGTGCTGTGGTGGAGAGGCCGTTCTCTAAAGAAGTTTGTTGGTTGGAGGAGGTGGTGAAGATTTGAGCAGGCTCGTAGGAGGAGTGGAAAGAGCCAGAGGATGGAGAGGTGGCAATTCAAGGCCCAGAGCCGACAGCTTGTAGGAGGAGTTCCCGCTGAGGTGGGAGGAGGTGGGATGGGGAGAACAGATGGTGGGCCAGCCTCGACCAGGAGAAGGGTGACCCCCTTCCTCCCAGAGAGGGGGCAGAGCCGAGGGGTAGGTCAAAAGGTCTGAGAATGGTGACATTTGCGAATGAGAAAAGAGCAAATGAAAAAAAAACATCTTTTCAGCCAAGTGAGAGAAAGGTCATCAGTTGGGATGGATAGGGTGATGGAGTCAGGATTGGGAATCCATTGGGACAGTCACTTTGGGGTTGTGGTTGAGTCAGCAAGAGATGGCTGGTGGAAGGATCAGAGGCTGAGGTCAGATGGTGAACCTTGCTGATGTGGCTGGATGCAGCCATGGTCCCCAGACTGGGGACTCGTGGGGTGGGAAGGTGGCATGTCAGGGAAACACAAGACAGTTCTGGCATGAGCAAATCTGAGGAATGTTGGGATGTGTTCCTCTGCAGTGGTGTGGCTACTTTAGTTTAGCACCTACTATGTGCCAGGCCTACTATGTGTGGTAAATGCTCTGTCATTTAACCCTCTCAACGGCTCCAGAGGTAGCCACTGCCTGACTGGCCTGAGGCCCCACAGCCAGGGGTTGCCGAGCTGGGACTCTGTGCCAGGGACGTCTGATCACCAACAGGCTCATCTGTGTGGGGATGCCCAGCTCGGGTGCTGGATGTGCAGTGCTTTGGGGCTGTAGGATGCCATGCAGATGTGAAGCACACTACCCCACACCGCCTCCTCAGCCCCAGCGGGGAGGGACTGAGGTGTTTGTCATGCTTTGGTCCTCCGTCTCTGGGAGAAATGTGTCAGACCTTGGTGGGTGGGGATGAGCTGGGCGGGGCTCCAGAACACGGCTCAGTGGGGAGGTGACAATCCCAGGCAGGTGTGTGCAGTCTGCCCGCAGAGGGCCAGGTGGCGGGTCTGTATTCCCACCAGAGGGTAGTATCTGTCCCTGGATGTATGACTGCATGTGTGTGTATGTAGGGACGTCTCTCTGTGCCTGTGAGTCTGTGTTTCTAAGCGTGCACATGTGCATTTCTGAGTCTTTCCCTTTGCCCCTGTACCTGTTATACGCAGAGAAACAGAAATGGGTGGTGGTGAGATATAGACACAAATTGGGGAAGGAACAAATGGTGGAATGAAAGGAAACAGACTCAGGACACACATACTCTCCCATGTGTTCAGAAACACCTAGGGTGACACACGCAGAAATGCAGTGTCCAAAATGGGTGGTGGTGAGATATAGACACAAATTGGGGAAGGAACAAATGGTGGAATGAAAGGAAACAGACTCAGGACACACATACTCTCCCATGTGTTCAGAAACACCTAGGGTGACACACGCAGAAATGCAGTGTCCGTGTCTCTCTCTGCTTGCTTGGGTGGGTTGGCACATGTTTCTTATGGATATGCGCTTGGGCATGTGACAGGCACACACAAACACACATACCTGTTTAACTTAAGAAACACAGAATGATAGGTACATGGAGACCCATGAAAGCACACGATAGGGACATGCAGACATACCTGGACAAACTGTCTTTGCATGTATATTATTCCTGGGTATGTGTTACTATGTGCTTTTCTGAGTATGTAGGCATCTGTGTATCTGAACACGGATATCTGTAGGAGACAGACATGGTGGCACACACTTAGAAACACACACACAGCACCCATGTATGGCAATGCCTGGAGACAATTTTTATTTCCATGACTGGATTGGAGATACTACTAGTATCTAATGGGTAGAGGCCAGGGATGCCGTTAGACCTCCTTCAAGGCACAGGATGCCTCAACAACAAAGCAGTATCCCACCCAAATTACCAGTTGCATTGAGATAGAGAAACCTTGGTCTGAGTCCATGCAATGCTCTTGACAGACAGTATGACACATTGTCAGTACTCAATAAATAGTAGCTGAAGAGGGGGATGAGAAGTGATTTGGAGAAGGTTGAATTGAATTCCTTTGAATTCAGGGGAGAAATGAATTCATGGGGGAGAAAAGTACATGTAAATGAGCCCATCAGTTAACAGGATTCATGTGATACTGTCTGTTGGGTGGGCACGAGGGGCAGGGCTGCCCTCAGGAGGGTAGGTGCAGGTGAGGCGGGTGACAGGAGGAGGTTGATGGATGGGGCGTGGGGCCAGCTCTGGGCAGCCACCAGTCACTGTGACACTAACCAGATGGTTTGCCTGTCTGTCCCCTCCCCCCCTGTGTCTCTCTCCCCATCTCTCTTGGCCTCTCTGGCTGGAAGGGGACAGCCGGAGGCTGAAGGGGGCCATCCAGAGGAGCACGGAGACAGGCCTGGCAGTGGAGATGCCTAGCCGGACGCTGCGCCAGGCCAGCCACGAGTCCATTGAGGACAGCATGAACAGCTACGGCTCCGAGGGCAAGTGAGTGTGGGGCCCTCTTGGCTGTCAGTCTTCCCTGGTGGGCAGGAGGGACTGAGCCCTGGGTCAGCGTCACGTTGGTGGGGCATTGGCTCAGGGCTCCTGGGTGGTCCACGTCTTCAGAAGGGAGGGAGTAGAGCATAGACTCTGGGGATCAAGTGATAGATTTGAATCCTGGCTCCGCCACACACCACCTGTTTGATCCTGGGCAGGTCATTTCCCTGTGTCTCAGTTTCCTCATCTATAAAGTGGGGCTAATAGTGCCAACCTCACAGGGGTGTCATGAGGAGTAAATGGATTGATATTTATAAAGAGCGTAGAACAGGGGTTGGCATGTAAGTCCTGTGTGTCAGCGTTGGCAAATAAGAAAGGGTGAGTGGGGTTTTATTATGGTTACTGTTTCCGCCTCTCTTTCTTAGTTTCTTAAATCCCAGTGGGTTTTTAAAAATATGTACTACTGCCTGATAAGGAGTTCCACATAGATCACGTCATAAAACATTAGGATCGACCAGCTCCTTGCCAGTGTTTGTCTTGCCTGACGGTATATCAGAATCACTGGGAACTTGCTACAGATACAGGTTGCAGGCTTGTGTCCTGACTCAGAGTCTCGGGGAGTGGAGCCCAGGAACTCCATTTTTAAAAGGCTCCCTGGGAGAAGACCAACCTGGACTGGGGGTTCTCATCATGGAGCAATTATGGATGCCTTTGAGAATTTGGGGAAAGCCTGGGTCTGCTTTCCCCTGATAAATACATGCACACATGCTCTCCTTCTCACATGCACAGCCTTCCAAACATGTTTTCCTCATTATTTTAGGGGTTTCTAGATTCCCTTAAAACCCATTCATGGATTTTAAGGCAACGAAACTTTGATCCAGAGTGGCTTCCTTATCATACAGATGTCCAGGGCACTCAGAGAGGTTGAGGAGCTTGCCCTGGATCACACAGCGTATCAGTAGGTCTGGAATCAGGGAGACCTGAGTCCCAGCCAGGGCACCTCATGGCTTCCTTCTCTCAGCTGTCTTCAGCCGGGGCTGGGGAATCAGGATCCTTGTCACACACACGAGGAGACTGGTGCTTGGAAAAGTTAAGGCTGAGCTGTTCAGTTCAGTAGATACTAGGCACAGGGCTATTTAAATGTAAATTAACTAAAATTAAATATTCTCTTCCTCCATCACAGTAGTCATATTTCAAGTGCTCAGTAGCAGCTCATGTCCAGTGACAACCGTATTAGATGGTGCAGAAATAGAATATTTCCATTATTGCAGGAAGAAGTTCCACTGGACAGCACTGGCTAAGTGGCCTGTCCAGGACAGACACCAGCCAAGCCACTGAGGGGCAGGGCTGGGACTCTGCCGCCACCTCCCCGCCCATTGCTGGCCTGGTCTGGCAGCTGGGGGCTTCTGCTGGCTGAAAGCCTTCCCACCCCCAGGCCCCCTAAGTGGGGCATCTCCGGGCTCTATGAATGGCCTTGCCTTGGCAGAAGCTGCTGCTCCACCCACCTCCTAGGGAGCCTTTCCGGAGGGCGAGAAGAGGAGGAGGACAGGCGGAAGGGAGAGGGGGAGGAGGAGGAGGAAAGGAACAAACATTTTCTTTAACCTGAGGAACTCGGCTGGCAGCAACACTTGGAGGAAGATATTCTAGGCATCTGGGTGGCAGTGGGTTCCTGCTGAGTTTCAGGGGTGCAGGAGGCTTGGGTCCCAGTCCTGGCTCTGCCACTGACCCCCCTGGATGGCCTTGGCCATGTCTCCCAGCTCCTTAAGCTTCAGGAGGCTGGTGAGAATCTCATCTGCCTCCTGGGCAGTTCGGAGAGCCAGGTCAGGGGAGGGCAGCGAGGTACAGTGCACCGCAGCACCGGGACCCGGCCCGTATTCCCATTCTACAGAGAGCAGACGAGGGCACAGTGAGGCCTCACGGTTCAGTCCAGTGGGAGCAGCGTGGGGGAGTGTTGCGAGGAAGAAGTGAGATCGTGCCTGCACACGGCAGGTGCTTGGGAGATGGCTCTCTCTGTCAGTTGCTGTAAGGGCCCGAAGAGTCTGATCACAATGCAGAGAGGTTCTAAGCCGGCACCTCAGAGTCACACAAACCTGGTTTGTGCTTCATTTCTGCTGCTTAGTAGCTATGTGACTTTGGGGAAGTTACTTTACCTCTCTGAGCACAATTTCTTCATATACGGAAAGGAGACAATGATAGTACTGACCACTAATAAAGTTATGGTGAGGATTGAATGAGGTAATATATGTATAAGCACTTAGAACAGACTGCACACAGCAAGCACTGTTATTATTACTATGATCATGTTGTTGGTTGTTGATTTGGCCACTTTATTTGCGTGTTTTGCTCCTTGCCACTGATCGCATCCTAATGGTACAGTGAGCCACCCCAAATGAAATCATGTCTTTAAAGTCCTTAGCACAGAGCCAGCATGGGATCAATGTTGGCTGTGATGATTATGATTATTAGAAGTTTGGAGGGAGGGTGCCTTGAGCCCACCTGAGGAAGGATCCTGTGAGTTAGAGGGTGCTCAGTCCAGCAGAGAAGAGAGTTGTGCCCTCCTGAAAGGGTCTGAGTCTTGATGGAGCCCAGCCAGGTCCTGCCACTCTCCCAACAACTGGCCGAGTAAGGGGTGTGGAAAGGACAGGTGAGGACATTGAGCTGAGGTCAGCCTCTTCCTGGGTCTGGAGGTATTTTGGGCCCTGGTGGGACCCAAGATGCCAGGCTTCTGAAACAGGAGGGGGTGTGACTGTCCTCTCCCTGGGCTCCTGCCAGCCCAGCTGAGGCTTGCAGGGAGCCAGCGCACTTGCACAGCCCCCGCGAGCCTGCGGGCCGTGGTGCTGCTGGGTCTGCCTGCCTGTGCACTGGATCACCAAGCATGTGTGTTCCTGTGGGTGGGTATAGGGCATTTCATTTCAGCAAATGGCATCAAGCGGCTACATGTTCCACACAACTGACTGAGCACCTCAGAGGCTGCCTTCACTTGACCAAGCAGCTGGCATTTAGCGGGCAGCTGCAAAGCACAGGCATAGAGAACTTTGGAAATGTTGCTCCCTAACCAGGCCGGGAGCTTGGGAAGGGGTGCATATGGGTTGGGCCATTCTTTCAAGGCAGATCCTTGGGCTTCAGGTCACCCAAGACCAGCTAACAATGAGCTCAGCTCTCACTGTTCAAAGCATCCAACTCCATAGGCATCCCCTGGGGCTTGTTGGAAATGCAGCATCTCAGGCTCCACCCCAAGCCTGCTGAATCAGAATCTGTATTTTAACAAGATCCCTGGGTGGTTTGTGTACATGTTAAGGTTGAGAAGGCCTGGCTTAATGGAAATAACATTCTAGAGGTAACACTTGCAGAGCAGTTGCTCTGTGCAGGCACTGTGCTAAGTCCTTTTACATATATTGACTCATTTAATTCTTACAACAATCTGGTGACTCTGGGACTACTATTATCCCTATTTTACAGAAGAGGAAACAAAGCCAAGAGAGGTTGAGTAACCTGCCCAAGGTCACACAGCTGGTAATCGGCTTCAAATGCTGGGATTCAAATCTAGTCGTTTGGAGTCTGCCCCTAACTATTATACTTGGCTCTTGCCCTCATTTCACAGCTGCATCTGTCAAGATTTCTGGAGGTAGATGCTTCACAGGTGGTTTGCTGGCTTCATGAGTCCTTCCATGTTTTCCCTCCACAGGCCTTGGAGGGAACCAATCGTGGGTTTATCCTCTGGGGATGGGAAAGGGCTTTCTTTTCCTGAGTCCCTTTCTGCCTGATTGAAAAATCAGGATTTTGTAGGCTAAGGATGGAAGGGAACAGCTGTGGGCTTGGCAACCAGGCAAGTCCCCCACTTCCCCAGAGCAGTCCCCTCTCCCCAAGACAAAGGGCAGGGATTCAAGTCCCCTGAGAAAGGACCACAAGAATAGTACCTCCCTGGACCCCTCTGAATCCTGAGACACTCCCTGGTGGCTGCTTGATTTAGTTTGGGTTCTGCAGCACCAGACACAAGACATGGATTTAAGTGCAAGTAGCTCACTTGGGGGATGATTCCAGAAAACCACGGTGGAGGAGCATGTGAGTGAGACAGGGCAGGGGAGGCGTCCGATAATGTGTGCCCTAAGAAGCCAGCTGCCACTGTGGGTAACTGCAGCTTAATCCTGATGGGGGCTCTGGGAGCCAGTGTGGGACATGTGCCTGAGTGTCCTGGGAGGCAAGGGAGCTCAAGTATTCATACTCCAACTCTTACCAGTTACTGGTTGACGGCTTCTCCCAGTTAACTCTCCTGCTCTTACTGCAGCATAGTGGAGTCGGGAGGCCAGAGAAACTCCTCAGGGGCCAGAGAAGTGTAGGCAAAGGAACAAGGTGCTGGCAGTTGGAAGTCAGCAAGCACTGAGGTAGTGACAGTCAAGGGATATGGGGGCAGGGGCCAGCAGAGCCTCCGCCCTGTCGTGCTGTGCACTATCTCCCAGCTGCCCAAACCAGAAACCTCAGCTTTCAGATGGCTCCCCCCTCTCTCACACCCACATCCAATCCATAACTGGGCTCTACCGTTTCACGCCCATCTTTGACTCCATCCATTTCTCTCCATCCCCACCCCCTGGTGAGGTTCTTCGTCACTCCTGCATGGGTCCCTGCATGGGTCCCTCTTTGGTCTAAACCCCATGGTCTGTCACTCAGCACTTATTTCCTCTGACCTGTGCCAGCCTTTCTGTCTCCAACCGTGTGCCCCCTGCTCCATCACCCTGAACCCCTTCCACTTCTCTGTCTCACTTCCAGGCCTTTGCCCATGTTGCTCCCTCTACACAGCCTGCCCTTTCCTACCCGTACTCCATCTCCATCCTCTGACTCATTCCTCCTCCAGATCTCAGCTAAGAACTGGCAAGTAAGCTTTATCTCATATGCCAACTCCAGTTAATTGATAGTGGCTCCATGGGGTGCTGTGCTGAGGAGGATTCTGGAGCCCGGGCCAGGCTTGGCAGGAGTGTTGAGGTTGATTAGCAATGTCTGCCCTGGGCGTGGGC